CTTTTTACATTTATCCAAGTTGCAAGCAGATTTTCATATTCAGGTTCTTCTGTGTTATTTCTGTCCAAGTTGTGATAGCTAAAATAAAACAAAATCACACATATAAATTTCTAAAAGAAACATATATTCAAGCATATTTGTAATTAACCTAAGGAATTCACATTTTTCACAGTAAACTTTAGGCTTCATTTTATTTACTACTTTACTAGGATAATAATTTTAATTTAATTAAAAACCCAAAACCTTGGGAAGAAATTAGTATTGGGTCCAGGGACTAGCTCAGTGGTGCTGCTGCCTGCACAAGCACAAGGTCCTAAGTCTGATCCTCAGTACAGAAAAAAACAAAAAAACAAAAAAGAAAAGAAAAGAAATTAGTATTAACTCAGTAGAAAAAAAGCAGAGAACTGTCTTAAGCAACTTTACTGTGGATAGTTTTCTTCATACATTTATATTTCTAAAACATCATGAAAAGAAAAGGCTTATTTCTGGAAGGCTGGGTAAATTATTGGTCTAACTTTTCCAGAGAAAGCAATTATAAACTTTAAATAAAATGCAAAAATCAACTATCCAGAGCAAAGGAGAATAACTGAAAGCAAAGAGACTCTGCAGGGGAGTTACACTTAGGAGGAGGAGGGCAGAGCACTGGGTGGCTGCCTGGCTCTGCAGTGCTTGCAGTTGCGAGGCAGGTGGCGGAACCACTGAGCCAAATCCACGGCCTGTGGCTCTTAAGTCTGAAAGCAGGTGAGGTGGTGTTACATTGGGGAGCTGGAACTGTGACAGAAAATCTGCAGCTTTCTTGTCTTACGAATGAGTGCAGAGTATTTAAAGCAACAAGTGGAAGGGTGGAGGACTCTTAGAAAGTAAAAGTAAAGGAGCCTTAAATTTTGTGTACAGACTTTTCCTAAATTTATCATGAAATCCTGAACCACTAAAGAATGGGTGAGACTGGAAAGTGATATTTGAGCTGTTGCTCAAAAAACATTTTGAAGTTGAAGACTAACCAAGGCAACTGATTAACAAATCTTAAATCAACACTCAAGAGAAAAGGAATTCAGTCCAAAACATAACATCTACAACGCTGAGAATGCAATGTAAAATTTGTCAATATAGGAAAAAGGAAAATGTGACTTGTTCTACACAGATACAAGTGACTGGCAGGGAGATCACCCATTTAACAAGGTTTAAAACAAGCTTAAAAGTATTTTCAATGAAGTAATGGAAAATACATTCCCAAGGAATGAAAAGATAAATATCAGCAGAGAAAAAAATAACAGTATCCTTAGGGATTTATGGGACAATATATAAATAAAATATATAGTTATGTGTTACTTAATGATAGAGATACATTCTGAGAAATTAAATGTTAGGTGATTTCATCATTACAAAACATCAGTGTGAGCTTAGACAAACCTCAGCAGTATTGCCTATGGTTATATGGTATAGCTATCGCTCCTAGGCTACAAACTTATCAAACTTATGCAGCACATTATTTACTGAATATTGTAGGCAATTGTAATAATAGCTAAGTATTTATATATCTAAAAATAGAAAAAGTACACTAAAGGTAGTATAAAAGAAATAGTATTCTGGTATAGGGTTGGCTTGCAAGACTGGCATGGGCTTGCAAGACTAAAAGTTGCTTTGGGTAAGGTTGTGAGTGTGTATGAAGGTTGAGACATTACTGTAGATTTTATAAACATTGTACATTGTAATTTTAATGAATTTATTAAGTACTATGTATTACACATAACCATATATGCTGTAATTTTACATGAATGTAACAGGTTTGTTTATGAGTAATGCATTGCATTATGATGGTTCAACATCAAGTGATAGGAATTTTTCAGTTCTGTTATAATCTTACGGAACCATAACTATGTATGATATATATATATATCATGTATATATATGGTTTGTTGTTGACCAAAACAACATAATGTGGCGCATGCATATAAATGAAGTCCAAAATGGAGAAAGAGAATCAAATATAAAAATATTTAAAGAAGTAATGACTGAAAACCTCCCCAAATTTGATGAAGATATAGAAACCTTAAGTATTCCCCAAGCAACATAAATTCACAAAAAGGCATACAAAGATACATTATAATATTGAATGAAAACCTGAATATAAGACAAAGAAATGGTATGTTACAATTATATTGAATTTGAATGACTACTGACTATCACAAAAAAAGGAAGTCAGAAGATAAAGTATCTTTAAAGTATTAAAAAACTTCACCCTGGAAGTCTTTAGAGAGAAAAAAAATAATAATAATGGTGAAATAAAGATATTTTTATATAAAAGAAAATCAGGAAAACTAGCAAATCTGAGCTTCAATAAATGCTAAAAGATGTTTTTCTGTCAACATAATAAAATCTACTAGAAGTAGAGATGAAGGGCATGGAAAATCATAAATGTCTGTGTAAAAGCAAAGGCTTTGCCTCTTTATAATATATACCGCTGTTTGAGACAAAAATGAGGATATATGTAAAATGTGTGATGATCACAGCACAATTACTGAGAGTTAAGTCCATAAAGTTGCAAGGTTTCCACACTGCAATTGCTAAATTAATAATGCAGAGATATAGCTAAAGAATCTATGGGTGAATTCTAAAGTTCTCAAAAATCCAAAGGAGGGCATGGAAGGAAGAACAGAAGAACCTCAAACAAGAGACTAAATAAAGTAAAATGATAGATTAACTCAATCAAATCAGTAATTATATTAGAGGGCAACAGACTGAAGACTCCAAATAAAGTTAATTATTTTAAGAATGATTAAGAAAATCTAAATATATACTGCCTATACGATAAACTCTTTAAAAGTTGAAAGCAAAGAAATGGAGAAAGTTATAACATGCAAACAGTAAGTGTAAGAGGCTAGAGAGGCCACAGTAATATCAGATAAAGTAGACTTCAAGACAAAGGAGATTACTAGAGGAATACTGTGCTGAATAATGTGTCCCTATGGGAGATGATGAATCATGTATGTGTACATACCTAATAATGGCTCCAAAATACAAAAAGCAGAAATTAACAGGATTAAAGGGAAAAAGAATTGCATAATCCTGGTTGGCAATTTTAATGTCACTCTTCAGCAGATTATACAGTAGATCTGCCACTGCAAAACAAATAAAACTTTCCCCCAAACCAATACAGACAAGAGAATTTGGGCAATCCTATCAGCCTGACCAAAATGATTATTTATAGAATTCTATAACCAACTTCTGCAGTTGATCATTTTTTAAGTGTACATGGACTGTTAAGCTAGAGAGATCACATGCTGGGCCATAAAAGGAATTCATTTAAAACGGTGAAATTATGTGAAGTATACTGTATGATTACAAGGAACCTAAGAATTGGGCATCTAGAAAACTGTGGAAGGTTAACAAAAGAAGACCTAAAAGTAACATGTGGGCTAAAGAATGGATCACAAAGTAAATTGCAAAATATTTCAAACTGAATAATAATTTAACATACACAAATTTGTGAATGCCAGTGAAATATCTGGAAGGAAATTAATTGCTTTAAGTGCTTATTTTAGGAAAGAACTACAGTTAATAAAGTGAGTTTCCAAGTTAGGAAGCTAGGAAAAGTTGGAATGGAAGACATAATAAAGGGTAGAAATTGATGAAATAGAAAAAGAAATTGAGAGAAGTAACAACTGATTCATTAAAAAGATGAAGAAAATTGAGATTCACTGGTTAACCTAACCAAAAAGTAAGTGCCATTTCTATGATGGTTTAAAACATAAAAAAACTAACCAATAGTGGAAAAATATCAAGACAGCGTTTGGGTAGAGACTGACTGGGAAAAAGCTATAAGAGAGCTTTATGGGGAGAAGAAACACTTTTGATAGAGGTTTGGAGTACTCAAGAAACTACATCTGGCAAGACAAAGTACACTTAAGAATTTATTTATTTTATTATAAGTTTAATCTCCAACAGAGGGATTAAACACAAGAAATGAACTTTAATGATATTGGCATTGTTGGCTACAATATATTTTGAAATTAAGTTGGAGCAATTAATAGATTGTGATACCACAGAACACTAAAGACAATTTGCAGTGAACACTTGCACATTTCCCATGAACTCTTCTGTATGCTTGAAACTTTCACCAAATTAAACTGATTAAAAAATACATACCCTCAGCTACTGCCATCAACTTTCAAGATGAATATAATGTTAGTGTATCAGTTGAGAACATACTATTGCCCAATAAAATTACATATATAATGTGTGGCAAAGTGAAGACATGTGAACAATATACAAGGAAATGCTAAATTCAGTCTTGCTTAAATGACTTCACTAACCAACTTTAAAGTACTGTGATAAGGAAAATGTTAGATGGAAAAGCTTTCAACAGCTGTATGGCTTTTGGTTTTAGCTGTTTTGGATGAATAAAGGCTCCTCCTCCCCTCTTTAGAAAACTATACACAACTATACACTTGAATTACGTCAAAAGAACAAATTGGAAAGGTGTACTTTACCTGTCTCATGAATTGTGTAGCATTGAAAAGCTCACTGCAGCCATACAAAATGTGTTTGCCTTGCTTCCCCTGCAAAAGTCAAGAGACAAAACTCAGATCCAAGTAACAAGAACTGTTTTCAATGATCCTAACCTGCTAGGACTTTTTTTGTTTTGGGGGGGCTACTCTTAAAGGTCTTTTTATTTTTTTGGGTGGTGGATTTTGGTGTACATGTATATTTTTAAATTACATGAAACAAAGTCGGGAAACAGGCATAAAATGCCTTTTTCTTCAAAAATTAATACATTTTGACATACTATTGAGGCTATTATATAAAAGGAATGTGAGAATTGTCACATTTCACATAGGCAATAATTAATTACCTAAAAAATCTTAGACCAATATTCTTCCAATGAAGGCTGTGTGCTACTTGAAGACAGTTATTAGGCTGTCATTTCAATCTTGTATAACACAGTATATGTGAATATATCCCATTTCATACTGTAACTGTATGAATGTTATTTCTGACAGAACGCTGGAACCCAATGACAAGTCAAGCTTCTGCACTAGAATTTGGTAAGTCCTTTACGCTGAAATTCTTTATTTGTAAGCTTTAAGGAAAATTCAGGAGGCAAGGTTTCACTCTGTAGTTCAGAGTGACCTTGAACTCACTGTGTAACCCAGGCTGGCCTCAAACTTGTGATCCTCTTGCCTCAGCCTTAAATGCAGGGATTATAGATTTGCGCCAACATGCCTAGCTGAGTATTCTTTTATAAGTATATATTATTCCATAAAGTAATTTGATAATTCATCAAGAATATAAGAATGATGGCTTCATAACACGAGACATTTCTCTGATTATAAAATGAATAAACATCACAGATTGAAAAAAATGTCTTGAGAATAAAATATGAGCCACATTTAAAAGATGAGGTGGTATTGCAACAACTACACAGTCATATGATTGGAATTCTTGAGGCCACAGCATGTACTCCCATGAACCATTAATCAAGGTGAAGATTGTGGTACATATAAGAAATCACAGAAGCCTTAGTGGGGTCAAAAACTTGTAGGACAGCTTCCAGGATCTTATCTCCGTAGCACAGGATGCATTTCATTTTCAGCTGGATACAGTGGTCTAAGGAGACCCCTAGTCTTATTCAAGGAGAAGTCTCTTATACCTCTCTGGTCACGGAGGCAAAAAGAAAGTTACATGCTATCCTCAACAGCAAAAACCAAGAGGACATGACAGAAAACTGGCTAAGTATCAACTTTACATGTTTATTAAAACTAGTGTAAGTTTCCCCCGATCTATCTTGGACCTCAGTATAGAGCTAGATTCATTATTAGTAAGTACATTTCACTCAGGTTTGGCCAAATGTCAGCACCATGTTTCCTTAATTTTTACAGGTAAGCAATAGGCCAAGGATTCCAACAGACCAGCTGAGATTAATCCTCTATTGCACAGGGGCCAGTGATTTAGCTCAGTGGTTCCACCACCTGCCTCATAAGTGTAAGGTGCTGAGTTTGATCCCCGGTATATTAAAAAAAAAAAAAAAAAAAAAAAAAAAATCGGCTGGATTTCTATGCACTTGTGCTATGTTTTGAGTGTGTCCCTCACACAGGTTCCTAGGCTGGAAGCTTGGTGCCCAGTGGTCAAGTCACTGGTGGCACTGGCCTTGGGAGAAACTAATGTGATTTTCCTGGGGAGTCCAGTCAGTTTCTGTGAGAGCAACCTTGGACCCTGAATCTCCTGCTTCCTGTCTCACCACACAACTATCACTTACACGTGTTCCTTATGATGCCATCCATCATGCTTTGACAAGTTGAACAGATGGGGCCAAATGGTCCTGGACATTCAAGCCTCCATAACTATGAGCAAGGTAAAATTTTTTCCTTTATAAAGTAACTAGCCTCAGGCATTTGTTATAGCAACAGAAAACTGACTGAATAACACCTGCAATGAACATTCCAAAAATTACCCTCACAATAGTATAAAAAATACACAGGGATGAATTTAATGAAAGAACTGCAAAACTTATACTCTGAAAAGTACAAAATGTTGTTGAAAGAAAGAGGATACAGATTAATGCAAAAATATCCATGTTCATGGATCAGTATTAACAAGAAAACATTTTCCAAAATGACCTACGGATTCAATGCAATTCTTCTAAGAATACCAACTTATGTCTTTGCAAAAATTGACACTGACTCTAAAATTCATACAGAATTACAAGGACCCCCAAAAGGCAAAAGACTCTTCAGAAGTAATAAAGTAGGAAGACCCACATGTTCTGATTTAAAAATTTACTATGAAACAGTAATAACCAATACACAGTATAGTACCGGCACATGGATAGACCTACGATAGAACAATGGAATAGAACTGAGAGTGCAGAAATAAACCCACACCTGTATGGTGAACTGATTTTCAACAGGGTTGCCTTTTCAATAAGATTGTTAAGACTATTCGATTGGGAAAGAATAATCTTTTCAACACATGTTGCTGAAAGAAGTAGATGGCCATTTATGAAATGATGCAATGGGGACTCTGTACTACATACAAAAATTAACCCAGATGACCTAAATATAAGAGCCAGAATTATAAAATCTTTAGGGGTAAATGTTTATGTCCTCGGAGTTGGCATAGATACCTGACTATGTTAGGTAAAACACCAAAATTTGTAACAGTGAAAGGGAAAAAAACCACATTTCACCAAAACAAACTTTTGAGTTTAAAAAAAAACAGGGAAATGAGAGAGAATGTGTACAAATTGTATGTTTGATAATGGACTTATATAAGGAATTCTTACACGTCAATAGAAAGGCAAAATAGCCTATGTAGAAATGGATGAAAGAGCTGGGTGTGATGATACATAATCCCACACTCAGGAGGCCAAGGCAGGAGGAGCGCAGTGATTTTGAGGCCAGTTAGAACAACAAAACAAAAAAAAGGAAGAAGATTCTGAACAGACATTTCTCTAAAAAAGTTTACAAATGCCAATATGTAGGTGAAAAGATGTAAATCAAAGTGTCGAAGTAAGAACTCTCAAACTGCTGGTGGGAATGTAAAATGGTGCAGCTGCTTTGGAAAACAGTCAAAGAATGATTTCTTCCCAATCAACATTTTGGTATATGAACGAAAACTGATTTTGCGGGGAAAGGTTAAAAAAAAAAATCCATAATTCCAATTTATTTAATAATGACCTTAATCTAAAATGCAATGTAATTACTGTTTGGTATAATCCTGCTATCACGGATGTGAAAGACAAAATATATTAGGAAACTGAATAAAATTCCCACAAGATGTTCTTCTGATGGAAGGTGACTGACCAGACAGACTAAATTTAAGTAATAACTAACTATAACACTCAATGTACTTCACAAAATTCAATTTTCTGTGGCAAAATAATAGTTGTCAAACTTGTGCACAATAAAGAATAAAGATGTCACCGTGATATCTGGTAAACTGCAGTATTTAAATTATATTTATGCTTCAGTTGCTACATAATTAGTATTCTGATGTTTATTCTTCTTGTTTTTCTATCTTATAAATACAGTAAATGATGCTGAAAAAGAAGACTGGCAAATGATTAAAACATTTAACCAAGTGTGGGAGTGTATGAAATTAGTGTTTCTGTCACAGCCCTGTATTTAACCCTGGGAACCCTTGGCCAAACCTAAGCACAATGTACTCAAGAGCTATTATCATAGTTCTGTGTTTATTATTATTATTAAATTTTTTTTTTTTGGTTTTTTGAGACAGAACTCACTATGTAGCCTAGGCTGGTCTCAAACTCACAATGCTCCTCCTGCCTCAGCCTCCCAAGTGCTGGGATTACAGGCGTAGCATACTCCACCATGCCTGGCTCTATAGTTCTGTGTTTAGAATTGAAATACTGGGGGGCAACTTACACTAGCTTGTCAGCATTGTTTACAGAGACAGTTTGCACCTGGCTGCTATCATGTTTTCTTGGTTTCTGCTTTGGAGCCTGAACATGTAGCCTCATTGTGACTATGGCACCAGAAGGGTATTAAAAAAACCCTTTCTTACAAAAGACACCATGGTATCTTACATATATACTGATGGTTCATGATCCAAAGATGAAGTATGTCTTGTGCCACTGAAAGGATCCTGGGAATTGTACTAATTAGTTTTGGAAATCTGTGATGCTTGCCTGTATTTTTTTTTTTCTTTCTTTCTCAGATTCTACCAAAATCTCTACTAAAGCCTTACGTGACTGTGAGGTGAGAATGTGAAAAGCATTATTTAATGTTAAGTGAATAAATGAAGATTACAAAATGTGATTCTTACAAGCTAATTCTGCAGCTCCTACATTTTAAATGCATTTGTTTATCAAATTATGCTCTGTTCTTCATTCATTTTTTGGTACTGGGGATCTGAACCTAGAACCTCAAATATGATAGGTAAATCCTTTACCATTTCAGCTATACCTCTCCTACCTTTTAAAATTTTTTCAAATTTTGAGACAGTCTTGCTAAATTGTGCAGACTTGTCTGGAACTTGTGATCCTCTTGATTTAGCCTGTGTAGTAAGAATTGCAGGCATGTGCCACCACACCCAATTTCCTTCTTATGTTTTGGTTACATTTTTTGTTTTCCCTGACTGGCTACAAACTCCTGGGCTCACGTGATCCTACCTGAGCCTCCAAGTATCTGGGACTACAGGCACATGTACCATGTTTGGTCTATATACCTGAGTTTTAAATTGCCACATAGAGGGGCTGGGGATTTAGCTCAGTGGTTCTTCTACCTGCTTCACAAGCACAAGGTTCTGAATTCGATCCCCCATACCAAAAAAAAAAAAAAAAAAAGCCACATAGAAAAGTAATTATATAAGGGTCAAGATAGCCATCAGAGAATCACTCTATAGATGTAATACTGTCAAATCACGAAATGGTAGGATAATAAAGCTAAAATGTACCTTTATGTAGTCAACAAGATTTTGATATTCAATGTAGTTGCCGCCTCCCACCACAAAAACAATTGCCTAAAAATGTAAATAGAAAAAGAAAGAAATTGAAAGAGTAGAAAATAGAATTTTAGTTTTCAAGCAAAATGTATTTTAGACTGGAACTTATTCTCCAACAGAGGTAAACACATTACCTAGCCACAAGCTACAGTCTAAGCACCTGCTAATTAAGAACTTTATTTGTAAAAGGCATTATATATCTATATAAATGTATTTAAAATTTTAATGTCTGTTGAATGGTAAAAAGATTTTTCAGAAACTTAATTATATTATTTGATTAAGTAATAGAAAATAAATAGCAAATAAATCCAAATGGCTTTGTCCAAAGGACATTTTCAAATTTGCATCTATTTATTATAGTTGGGAAATCACAATATTTTCTTTTACTGAGAAGAAGCCTCTCTGTATTTCAAATGAAAATACAACCATGGTATCTCTCTCTCTTTTTTTGGGGGGCGGGGCAGGGTCTCACTATGTAGTTGAGACTGACCTGGAACTCACTATATAGCCCAGGCTGGTCTCACACAGTGATCCTCCTGCCTCAGCCTCCTGAGTATTGGGATTACAGGCATGTGCCACCACGCTCAGCATGGTATCTTTTTTGTTTGGTTTGCACCGGGGATAGAACTTAGGTTCTTGCGTTTGTGAGGCTGGTGGTGGCAACCACTGAGCTAAATCCCCGGCCCCAGTCATGGTATCTTTACAACATTTGGAATACAATTTTAGAAGGTCCAAACACATACAATTCTCATTGTATGTAATTCTTTTTCTGTTAGTTGATTTTGTCATTTTAAAGCTTAAAATATTGTAAGTTTAAACAGAAATTCAGGAAAATAAATTTGCTGAGAATTTAAAAAATCTTGGGTATACAAAATTGGATTTATCAAGATTACTGTACACTAATCATAATAGTCCTATTTATGATAAATATATTCAACATGGCTTGATTACCTTAAAGAATTTTTATATAAACCTTACCTCTTGGAATGGATTTTTGTTTCTAGGAACTGAGCTGTAATAAAGAAAAACTGTACTGAAAATTTCACCTTTGTTTTTTAATTACAAGTAAAACAAACGGGAAATACATACTCCCATATACTTGTGAGTACTGGTAGGAAGGTATTTGTAATTCTATTACCCTCTGAGGAGGGTGCAGTGGGTCCTTTAGTTTCCCAGAGGCAGAAACTCGAAGTGGTGTCTAAAAACTAATGGGACAATCTATAAATTTTGGAATATAGTTGTAGAAGCTCAAATAGCAGCTACCATGAAGAGTGGAAGTGTGGAAATATGTGAAGTAATGAAGCTGGTATTTCATGTGGTAAATTTTAACCAAGTTCAAAACAATATTCATGTACTGCAGGTATCTATATTTGCAGAAAAACTGAAACAATATGTAATATAGGAAAGAAATAAGGAAACTGTAAAAAACACCTTCATTAAAGACATTTTTCAAAGTTTTGCAGGCCAGATTAATATGTTTTTAGGGCTAAAATAGGCGGTATGGTGTGATCTACAGGGACAGCTTTGATTTTCCTAAGAAGTAATTTTCGAAAATCACTATGAGGAAAGAGATAGTGTAGTCTCTTACTTGTTCAGCGGCTAAACATAGCTCTTTTATTTTTCCTCCTTTCTACAGGCAGTCTAAATGCTCCATAGATGTAGCTAGAAGTTCACCCAATAAAAGTGTCTCCAAAGTGTTTGACTTCCCTCTAGAACACTTTAAATTCCTCTCAGAGTAGACACGGGATGAGTAGAGGTGAAACTAAAATAGCTCAGTATTGCTAGTTATTAATAACAAAAATTAACCGTGTGATGGCTCAGAAGGCTGTATTAAAAGTAAAACTCTCTGAGCTTATCTGTCATATCAATGCTAATATTTCTCCTATCATGTAGATGTTAAATTCAATATTAAAAATTTCTTAGCTCCCAGGAAGCAAAGCATATCTACTTGTTATCAAATTCAAGGAAAATAATATAGAGAATTATGAATATAGGAAAACATATGTAAAACCACTGTCTTGTCATGTATAATGAGTAGTTTTTACTGTATTTATAGTGTTGTACAATCATCATTCTGTAATTTTAGAGCACTTTTATGACTCCCAAAATGCCCCTGTACCCAGTGGTAGTCACCAGGTAGTCATTCACCCTTTTCATAATTTATTCAGTCAAATTTTCTTACCAACAATACACGTTATTAGGAGCTTCTTATGCAAAATATTTCTGACAAGTTCAGAAAAGATACTAACATTTTAAGTTACAAAACAGTTTAATAAACTATTAACTAGGTTAGGTGTCTTGACTACTCACAATGAAGTGAAAGCTTGGGGTAGAGCAAGTATGAAGTTGTAAAACTCCCAAAATAAGGGACAGGCAAGGAGATATGTGCCCACCCATTCCACCTAGGCTTTTTTTCTGTAACCTGTAGGCTGTTTTTTCATATTATCATGCCTTGTCTATCCTAAAATCCAGAAATTTATAGACTGTTTCATTGCCATAAAGTGTGTTTATGTTAATGGTTCCCAGGGACTTGGATTTCACAGACTAATTACATTAAAAACTAAGTGAATCACTAGTATACAATATAAAGCTTTTAAGAATATTCATTTTAAAACGTAAACATATCTTTTCCAAATTCCCCCCCCCACACTATTGTGTTTTTTCCTTCCAAGTATACATACAGAAATACATTTAGCTGACTACTGTTTCCTTATAAAATGGCGCTATTAGAAACCATGTATAATTATCAGTGATTATTTCTGAATGATGAGATTAGAATACATACTGATTCCTTAACCAGTTTTCTATGTAGTTTGAATTTAGTAATAGCCAGTAGTGCTTTGTGATAAAAATCAATTATTTCATTCCTGGGGGGAAATCCCATAACAAATCATGTAAGACAAAAGCTGCTTACCTGTCGTTGCCTCGCAGCATTTTGGGATCAAAATATCGATAGTCATCAGTTTCCTATTTTAAAAAAGAAACAGATTTTACAATGTCTGTGGAATTTCTCTTTAGAGGGTCACTGTCTGACATTGTATTATGTTAATGAATCATAAAAATTTTGCAGAATGTATAACCACCATCCCTAAAGTTTAATGAGCAGTTAGTAAGTGCTAAACCTTAATTGCTTTGCATGAAATTACTTGATCTCTAGTCTGTCAGGCAGGTGGTTACTATTATTATCCCATTTCTCTGATGAGTAGGTTTGGGGCACCAAGAGGCTATGTAATTTTCTAAGGTCACATACTTAGTTAAGTATGGGAAATTCAGTATTTGAACCCAGGCAGTCTAACTTCACTGCCCAAGCTCTTAATCACCATGACTCTCAAAAACATGTTTTATATTCCTGAAAACAGTTAATATACTTAAGTACTTTTGTTTTATAATTTTATCTTCATAAGCCCATAATTTTGATTATACAGAATATCTAATACAGGTTCACAGTCTTTTTTATCTGAAACTTTGAGAATTGGCCTATTAAATTGGAAACATTTTGATATTAGAGGAGTTGGAAACTACTGCTCTATGATTTGATATAATTATTTCCCAAACTCTGCCCTCTTCTCCTTCCACAGAAGAATCAGCCAAAGAAACTCATCTTTCCCCCGGGCATATGAATGGTCTCACCAAAACATGATAAATAACCAACATACTACATGTGTTTCTACTCTTGAGACCTGCATCCAATGGAAGCTACTTTAATCAGTCACAGCACTCTGAGTGAAAGCCAAATGTAGTGTCAGAATCCTTCAAAACTTTGGCTCCAAGGAGCCACCACAAGGCAGACTTCAAGGAAAGATGAAACCTATTTGATACCATACCTTAATATCAATTCATTCAATCAGGACAAATCAAAGGAGAGCATATTAAATGTAAGCGATACAAATGCACCTAAAATTAAATTATAACATTCTGAAGCATTTGGGATGTGATACATTCAGGATTACCTGCCAGGTCTAACCTAGTATACTTTGCTAATCTCCTCAGCATCTGGTTAGTCTCCTCAGTGCCTCAAATCAACCTGTCTGTGTAGAGGGAAGGGATAAGAGTGCAGGCAGCTACCTCAGAGAGCAGATGAATGAGGAATGCTTTCTAAACAGAAAACGTTTAATTTTTATAAGTAATTAAAAAGTATGGAGCCGGGGACTTAGCTCAGTGGTTCCACTGCCTGCTTTGCAAACACAAGATCCCAAGTTGGATTCCCGGTACCCGCCCCCCGCAAAAAAGTATGGGGCCGGGGATTTAGGCCAGT